CCGTCAATAGGTTAACTAGCAGAGGGATTTCACCGCACTAATGTGGCCACTCGGCACTTCGCCTAATGAACAAGTCCAATGAAATTGGGACAAGGAGGAGGAGGAGAAGGAGAAGAAAGGAGGAGGAGGAGGAGAAGAAAGGAGGAGGAGGAGAAATGAGGAGGAGGAAGAGGAGAGAAGAAGAAAGGAGGAGGAGGAGGAGAAAGGAGGAGGAGGAGGAAGAGGAGAGAAGAAGAAGAAAGGAGGAGGAGGACAGGAAGTAGAAGAAGAGGAAGGAAATAGGTGGAGGAAGGTTCACTACGATGGCAAAAGCAGCTTCACGGGCAGCGACGACGGGGAGGGTTTCTCGACGGGGCAGCTGGACGGAGACAACGATGGGCAGCTCGACGAGGAGCAGCAGCTACCACGGGTGGGCTTCGTGACGGCAGTGACGACGAGCGGGGTTCGCGACGGCAGCGACGACGGGCGGCTTCGCCACGGCAGTGACGACGGGCTTCGCAACAGGGAATACCGCGTTCGAATTTGAACGTGACGTCGTAGCCCGCCAGAGGGGGAATCAATTTCTTGGCGGCTGATGTCATTCACTGATCTTTGAAAACCTTCCCCCCCCCCCCTTCAAAGTACTCGCATATTCAAAAAAAAAACACTCCGCCTGGTGTTGCTGGAGCCTGGGGAGGCGATCAGTAGCCGAAAAAGGCCTTCCCCCCCCCCACCCGCGCGAAAAAAGGCCTCCCCCCCCTCCACCCGCGCGAAAAAAGGCCTCCCCCCCCAACCCGCGCGAAATTGCGCTGGGCTCGCCCGGCCCCAAACCGGGGGACCCAACCGGCCAGGGTGCCGGGGACCCCTGCCAGACGAAGGCCAGTCCACCGGACGGTCCGGAGTTTAACACAGCTTCGAAATCCATTTGAAGAACACAAAGATTGACTTATTAATACCGAAAAAAAAAAAATCAACTTTATTTTTTTGTTTTAGAAATAACACGAGGCGGAAAGATTGCTAAGCCCCGACAAGCCATCCATTGTTAGCAGTGACGCCAACCAGCATGCGATAGGCGCAGGGCTACAGCAAGAAGAGGGTAAAGCGTTCAATCCAATCGAGTACAAGTCGAAGGAGATTCCATATGAGAAACTGGCACAGTCCACCTATGAAAGAACTCTGTTGCTCTTTCCATGTCAAATTCGTGACAGTGAAACACTAGAAACCGGACGTTCATGGCAGACATTTTGAAGTCGAGTCTGCCCATGAGATCTCCAATGAATCGAAAAATCAGTGCACGCTGTCCGATCCGCTTAAGTGCTGGTTATCATTCATTTGATATGTTTGAGTTTGATTTCACACTAAGGCATGTGAAAGGGCAGTATGATGTCATTGTTGAGACACTGTCGCACAGAGCAGGTTTTCTATGTGCGCTTGTCACTGAGTTCGATCTAGACAACCATGTACGTCAGTTGGTAGAAGAGTCCTACCAGAATGCCACGGCATAGCTGCTCCGCTCTGCGTCGCCATAGACGGAGGTGAGAAGTTCGGCTTTATTTATCAAAAGACTTCAGTGCCAGTTCGTTCTCACGTGGTGTGCGCTCAGCCTTGTAATTCTGCTTTCAATTTTGTTGATATATGCTTGTTCTGCTTTCAGTCTTTTGCTGGTCGGAAAATTTGTGTTCGAATTCGCTGGTTCCTTGCATTTTGCGGGCTGAGTTGAGCTGGCTTCAAGCGTTGTGCAATCAGACTCGCTTTCTTTTCCACTTCGCATGCATGCAAACAGTTGGTGATTCACACTGGCGCACAGCGCCCACTCAAATCTCAGAGATATGGCAATCGAGAACACAGTTCAGATGCAAAACTCGCTTCAAAAAAGCTATGGTGCATCGCGCCTGCATCACCCCACTCTCCTCACTACGTACAACACCACTGTTCGTGCACACTCAACCCTGGATCACCCTGAATACTCCCACACGCATGAACTCTGTCGCTCACTCATACACACTCGCAACTCCTAACACCACAGCGGCTATGGCCGCTCAACTTCTACTAACTATGGCTACGCTATCATCTCTCAGCCCACTTCAACTTCGGGCGCTCTGCAGACCACCTCGCACAAGACGCTGTAGCAGCACTTCTGCATGGCTTAAGCAACGAATCAATGAATGCTGGACGCTGCCTCTTGATTTTTACTTCTGTAACTCGTTGGTCTGCCCCTCTTTTCCACCGGGCCGATGGTGCACACGTCCCTTATGGTACTTGCTGACTGTACGAAGTGAGACAGGGACTGGGTACCGCTGACTCATCGAAGTTGGACTCCACCACTTGCCCACTTGCCTTTGCCTAAACGTGAGACACTTTCGAAAGGCCACTTCCGGACCTTCCGGAAGTCTGTGGACTTGGCCTTTCGAATACCGTAGCAGCTACGACCTTGACCTCTCACGACACCTACAGCTACAACCTCTACAGAGCTGTGACCCCTACTCCACAGACCTACAGATCGAACCCCTACATCTGCACAGACCTACAACAGACAAACAACCAACTATCGAAACACAGGTCACGGGTTCAAACACGCGGGGGTCAACTCGATACTGTCCATGGGTAAGGTGAGGTCTGGGGATCAGCCTCTAGGGCCCGCATCTGTGACTGCAAAAAGGTGAAAACCGTTTCAGTTGATTCCTTGCACAGCAAGAGAGTCACAAGAACATGAAAGGTCTTCATCCCTCCGGTGGCTGTGCTTTCCTAAACAAAAACTTACATGACCAGCTCAAATTTGACCCATCTTGTCCTCTTAAGGGATGAAGATGCATATACCAGCAATGATTGGATACAACATGAGAGTGAAACATCAGTGTCGACTTAACAACAAAGCTGTGGTGGACAAAAAAGCAACCTTCAGAACAAATCAAGTGAAATAATTGAAAACATGATAAGAAGTGGCAAGCAGGGCAAAGTGTCAGGACACACCCTCTCATGCTTTTCAGCCGCCTCCTCTGGAGGCAACTTGTCTCCCATAGTTTGCGGTGTCAGCTTCAGGTTCTCATCCAGATGCACAAATACTTCCTCTCGACAAAACACAAGTGCCTCAAGTTGCTTTTTCTGCATTGGAAATGCACCCTGCAAAATCCATGAATGAAAACAGGTACAGCCTCTCAAAGTCAAACACCTCACAGACGTACGCCCACTGACACTGTAGTTTAGCAAAGGTCAACCTTTCAGTGCCCAGTCACTGAATGGTACAAACATGTAACTGCTGATAAACAAAACAAGAGTTTGAATCCTGTTAGATGCAATAAAGGTGAGGAAAACCGTTTTTCTGGAAGAAAAAGGACACTCCACAAAAACACAATAATTTGAATCCTCCTGGATGAATAAAAAAAGGTTAAACCACTACCTTTCCACACTTGAAAAACAAATATGCGGCTCATTTACGGCCACATCTTTCGGGAAGAACTGGAGCACCATTGCACTGGTGTGCATCCAGACATCTTTTAACGTTTTCCAAAACAGACAAGAACAGGAAGAAAAAGAAAGAGACAAAAAGGAACCACGTGAGTCTTACCACACTCCAGCCCAGCACTTCATGGTGGTGGTACTCTGATGGACCCCTGCATGGCCATGTTATCCTAAGAACACACAGCTGTATCAATCTCCACAAATACATAGCGAGGCATAAGCGGAAATGGGCCACTTGTTTTGGTTTGGGTAGATTTCATACTTGCAGCACATCAATGTGCACGCCTCAGCGGACGTGTTGTGCACCGCGCGCACCGAACTGTGCAGCGCACCCGATGCGGCGCACGACAATGAATAGGGTCACCTAAATTAAATAAAAAAGAACGGAGTTCTGAAGTTCTGTAGCCTCCCCACCTGGCAAAACTGAGAAAACGACCTGAGTTGCACCGTCATCTTTTTTGTCTTTTCTGCATGTGGAGAGCAATGGAATGAGGCCCTACGGCTTGTTTCAGAGTTTTTTTTTCCTCTTCTTTTGGTTAAAACAGGTCCTTATGGTCCTGGCTCCATATCCACCGGCAAGTGAAAAGGTGCGATACATGGTGAACACTGTCAAGCTTGCCTCCGTCTGGCCGAAGGAACCCTGACCAGCATTGATTGTGCAGCGCACCCGATGCGGCGCACGGCAATAAATAGGGTCACCTAAATTAAATAAAAAAAACTGGGTTCTGAAGTTCCGTAGCCTCCCCACCTGGCAAAACTGAGAAAACGACCTGAATTGCACTGTCATCTTTTTTGTCTTTTGTGCATGTGGACAGCAATGGAGTGAGGCCCTACGGCTTGTTTCAGACGTTTTTTTTTCTTTTTTTGGCCGGTTAAAACAGGTCTGCAGGGAAAATAAGCAACAGCGAGATGATAATCCCAGATCACACCATCACATTGCAAGTCAAATAGTCACACCGTGTCCAGATAGAAGCATTGCACCAATAATACACCAATGGAGTTTCGTAGCACTGAAAACCAACGTTTATGGAGAGCACACTCTCTCCTCTTCAACACAAGTATCCAGCTCCCTTACACTCACACTTGGCGCTCAGCGCCCAGCCTACTTCTACACAGCTACTMCAGACTACAAAAAGACAATGCAACTGTTGACATCAGCAGCAGCCCGAAGTACTTGAAGATGCCGCCCATGCAGACCATCGCCAATACAAGGTACGTGCCCTCACATCATCATCATCATCATCATCCTTCACCTATCCCCTGACTTCACCCACACCTGTCCTCTCTGACACCCGAAGAACCACCCCTGTGCCTCACTCTGTCCAAGCCAAGCCCGCTATGGAGGCTGGCTATGGTGCTGCCCTCAGGAGCGCCCTGTTCCCCTACACGATCGCACGTGTGTTGCCCCTTGCTCCTCTGCTGGCAGTCAGCCTGCGAGCTTTTGCTCCAGCAGCGCTGCTGCCCAGCCAGCAAGTGCCCCAATGAGCTGCCTGGCCAGAGCTCTTTCCTTTATGGAAAACAGCTGGCCAGCTCTCGCAGCCTGGCTGGGCTGGCCTGGGCCCAGCAGCTTCCGGAAGGCCCCAGGATGCTGTCTGGATGCAGCAGCTACTGGGCTGCTGGGCCTCGTTCGGTTGGGCGCCCAACTGTCTCTGTATGAGGCTGCGAATCACGCCCAGGGCCTGCATTCTTTGGAAAGGCCCGGTAGGCCGTGGAAACGTCTTCGGTACTCGGCCTGTGTTTCTTTCAACCAACTGGCGCGTCGCAACTGCCTGGACCCCAAACATGAAATTGACAGTCGAGGGCCTCTTGCGAAAAGCCAGGCCCGCCTTCACTTAGGGCGGGCACCTCCGCCTTCACTTAGGGCGGGTAAGGCTGCAGACAGGGCCCCGTAGGCCTACAGAGGACACTGATCCTCGCATTCCCTCCTCCTTAACTTCGTGAGTCCTCTGAGAAGTCTCTTATTCTGCAGGCATCTTCCCTTTTCGTTCTCTTTCATAGCCTGCAATCACTTGAGGCGCTGTTCTCATGAGTTCTTCCCGTGTAAACCAGCGATCTTCCTTGGGATCGAGGTGATGTCTGAAGCTCACCCGGTACTGCATTCTCGGTTTAGGAGGTCGCCCTCTGCCTGATGGTCGAGGAACAGGCATCATTCGATGCTCGACGATCTGGTCAATGTCCGGTTCCTTTCCACTGACAAGTCAAAAATTGAGATACATGATGAACACTCTCAAGCTTCGTTCCGTCTGGCCAAAGGACCAGGCATTGATTGCTCCTTACCCGGAGGATTGACCGTCAGCTTGCCGTGCCACTTTTCCTCTCAGAATCTATTGTGATTATGTCGGCTGACTCGTAAAAAGCAAGAAAAGAGGTGTGCTGTGCCATTTCTTCGAAATCAATCTGTTATCTGTCACAGTTTCTTGATGGCTATCCTTTCTGGTCTGCCTTTTATTGCTGATGTCACCTCCCTCCATCTGGATCGAATCTCAGTTTCGGCCATTCCCACCGATAGTACCCACATTTCTTCTCTTGCCACCTCATTTCCTTCGATCGTCTTGGTACATCTCCTTTTACAGATTACACATAGAGCCAGCTTCCTGAGCAGATGAAACCATACTTCCTTGTCACCTTTGAGATTGTTAGTATTGGTTGAAAGGAGCAGGATGTTCAGGGGAGTTGTGGGCGGAGGGGGTGGTGAGAAGAGGAGGGACCATAGGTTGTGCACCTTGTTCCATATCCATGCTGCTTTCGCGCAGTACAGTAGGCGGTGGGCTATATCTTCCGGGATGTTGTCTGTGCATAGCCTGCAAAGCTCAGAGCTGTCAGGGTCCGTATGTTTCCTCCTCTTGTGGAGCCATTGATTGACCGGCGGCGATGTGTGCAATAGAGCCACTGCATGCTTCGAATTATAACCGGTCGATTGGTCAGGTACTTTGTTCATGGGATGGAAATGGGTTCCATGGGACCCACATTCAGGATCTCCCTCCACTTTCCTTTGAGTCTGGGGTTCGGGTCCGTGGTTTGCAGACCCAGCTCATAGCTGAAACTGTTTTCACATTTTGCAAACACAGATGCGGATCCCAGGGTTCGATCCTGTGTACAGTATCAAGTCGATCCTGTGTGCCTCGAACCCGTGACCTGTGCGTTAGTAGTTGAAAGTTCTGTCGTAGGTCTGAGTAGTTGTCGAGTCTTGAACCTTAAGACCTGTTGACGTAGGGGTCATAAATGCATAGGGGTTATAGTTGTTGTAGTTCTGAAAGGTCAAGGTCGTAGCTGCTACAGTCCTGAAAGGTCAAGGTCGTAGCTGCTACAGTCATGAAAGGCCAAGTCCGCAAACTTCCAGAAGGTCCAGAAGTGGCCTTTCAAGTTTCTTCTCAAGTTATACACAGCAGCAAGTGGGCAAGTGGGCAAGTGGTGAGTCCAACTTCGCTTAGTCAGTGGTACCCAGTCCCAGTCTCACTTTGTACAGTCAGCAAGTACCATGAGGGACTGTGTGCACCATGGGCCCGGTGGAAAAGGGCAGACCAGCGACTTATAGAAATATAAATCAAGAGGCAGCGTCCAGCCATTCATTCATTCCTGTGTGAGCCATGCAGAAGCGCTGCCCAAATGTCTTGTGCGAGGTGGTCTGCAGATGCCCGAGGTCGAAGTGGGCTTGAAGAAGTTAGTGCGCCATAGTTAGTAGTAGTCGGCCGCCATAGCCGCCACAGCTAGCGTTAGGTGTTAGTGTGTGTGCACATGCGTGTGATACAGTGAACGCGTGTGGGGTATTCAGGGTGATCCAGAGTTGAGTGTGTGCGAACAGTGGTGTTGGACACAGTGATGGCGATGATACACCATAGCCTGTTGAAGCGAGTTTGCATCTGAACTGTGTTCTCGGTCTCCATATCTCTGAGCTTTGAGTGGGCGCTTGGCACCAGTGTGAGTTGCCATTTGTTTGCATGTATGCGAAGAGGAGAAGAAAGCGAGTCTGATTGCATAGCCGAATTTGACATCGTAATCACAAATCATTGTCATTCTCCTAGATTTGCCCTGTTTCCAAACCGACTTTTTTGGGTCGAATTCAAGGTCTGAAATGCTTAGGTCCGGTTAGAAGATTTTCCAGGGTTTGGACTTTGAAACCCTCACTTTTCTCAGTCGGAAGGTTTCTAGAGTGTCGCACTGGGATCTTTGTTCTGGATTTCCAACTCTTGTAGGTTGTGATTAGCTATGGGGAATGAGTAGAATTTAGATAGGTAGCAGAGTGGATTGGTTCGAGAGACGAAGCGATATGCTCTAGTCGGCTGGGTTTGGGAGACGAGTACGCCCCGATCCCCGGATTTCCACGAGAAGTCCTCCCTTAGGAGGGAAAGACATTGTACTGGGATACTCCTCTGAATCAACATTAGGTTTTCAGCGAGGGAGTGACAGCCTTTTAAGACATTTTGTAGCTCATGCTCGGTAGCCCATCGTCCTTGGTCCTCTGCCCAGATGTGCTTCACCTGCCACATGCCTTTTTCCACTCAGGATAGCCATCTTCCGTCATTTGTACATAGCGCCCATGTCCCACTGCTAGGGTCGGTGATCCAAGGATTGAAGAAGAGAGGTTGTCTCAGGACCTCTTCTCTGTTTCCCGGTGAACTGTGTTTACTTGGCATCATTCTACGCCAGGCTTTGATGGTAGGACTCCAGTATGAGATGGCTGTTCGAGTGGAGATTGTCATGAGCTCTGTAGGTTTTCTCCTGCGAGGTGTCCTTCACCATGAGCCAGTAGAGACCTCTCATGTTCGAGGGGGAGTTTACGGGTGCCAGGTTTCTAATGTTGTCTAAACCCATCTGGGTCCATGGGAGGGATTGTCTAAACAGGATCTTGATAATCCATTTCATCTGCAGTGCTATGGACTCCTATTCGGGGCCGATTAACCCAAGGCCCCCTTCCTGTGGTTTCGTCGTGATGTGGTTCCAAGCTACCCTGTTGATACACGTTGTCCTGTTGGCATCTCCTGTCCACAGGTAGCATCTCACCCTGTTTTTTACCGTCTTCATGTTGTCATCGGGGGGAGACCAGATGGATGCCATTTACCACAGTGTGGAGAAGATTGCCGTATTAATTAAAAGGGCACGCCCGATTATTGAGGCCTGAGCGTTTTTGCATAGGGCCAAGCGGGTAATTGCCCTGGCAATAAGGTTCTGGCCCATTCCTGGCCAAACTCCTTCCTTGTTGACCATGATGCCCAGGAAACGTAATGCTTGCTCTCCCGTTGTCCATGACATGGGTGTGGTAGTGTCTGATGGTTGCGGGGGGGGGGGGTGCCGTCTGCTAGCCACCAGCCTTCAGTTTTGCTCCAGTTGACATTCATTTTTTATGCCAGTCTGAAGGCTTCCCTTGCTCTTACTTGAGCTTGGAAAGAAGAGTTATTGGTGCGAAAGAGGACAATGAGATCGTCGGCAAACACAAGTGCAGTGGGCAGGACGAAGTCGTGTAACGGGTTGAAATTGAGTTCAATGAGGCGGTCGATGGATGGATCTTTTCGAAGGAAGAAAGCTATGGCTTCCATAATGACTAGGAATATGGGCGGAGACAATGGGTCGCCTTGTCTGACAGATCTAGATATCGGGTAGGTGTCCGATAGGATCCTGTTGACCTGGACCCTGGCCGTAGCGTCTAAGTAGAGGACTTTCACCCAATTTATGAAGCTTGGGCCTACCCTCATTTTCGCCATGCATACATGGAGAAACTCCCAATTGACTTGGTCGTAGGCCTTTTCGAAGTCGAAAACCAAGATTGCAGTCATCATTTGTTGTCCCGTGATCTTTTTTGCTGCCTCATTTAGCATCGTCACATTCTCCAATATGTACCGGCCCAGGATGAAGCCTGCTTGGTTGATGTGAAAGCATTTGTTCATTAGTTTTGTGTTTTTTTTCGCAAGAGCCTTAGCGAGAATTTTGTAGGGTGTGGTGAGTAGTGAAATTGGTCTGTAGTTCTTTAGGTCTTCTTCGTCTCCCTTCTTATAGAGCAGTGAAACCACGCTGGTGCTCAGATCATTGCCTAGGCCTCCTTTTAGCATGTTGTCGTTGAAAAACTCGAGCAGGTCTTCTCATAAGGTCCGTCAGAAGCAACTCCAAAATTCTTTAGAGAGGCCATCGTTGCCCGGGGCTTTGTCATTTCCCATCTAGGTGAGGGGATTGTCCAGGCCTTCCGCTTGGTTTGTGGAGATCATCTTGTCAAGGTAAGATAGCATTAGTTGGCGGGCTGCTAAGTTCGCTGTGGTCTGGGGTGAGGGTGTCTTTGATTCGTACGAATCTGCGTAGAATGCCTTGGCTATCCTGACCATTTTTGAACCTGTTGTTTTGATGTTCCCTTGCTCTTATGGGTCTTTGAGACCCTGTATCATGTAATTCCTTGCGTTTGCTTTGATTTTAGAGAAGAAGAAGTTGGGCATGGACTCGTTAAGTGTGTAGTCTGTCATCCTTGCTCGTACTTGCAGACCTCTTAGTTCCCATCTTCTCCACGCATTTAGTTCTTCTTCGGTATCAGCTAGTAATTTCTGGTAGAATTCGCTAGAGGGGTGTTCTGCCAGGTTAGATTCTGCAATTGAGATGGCGAATTGGAGCTCCTCTCTTCTCCTCTTGCGATCTTTAACTATACCTCATGATTCTGCTGATAATGTTCACGTTAGTTCATCGTAGCTGTCGATGAACCATTGTTGTTTGTTTGTCTATCTAAACTTGCGTTGTTTATTGAGGGACCAGTTTTCTTTGACTGCAGTAGACATCCTCTCGGTGGTTAAGAGGGAGTTCTCAATCTGAAGAATCCCTGACTTATTTCGACACGTGAGTTGAAGTTTAGCAGCGATTGAATAGGTTTAAGGTCCAGACCTTTGAAGGTTACACATCTAGATGTGTATTTGACTGCAGTAGACATCCTCTCGGTGGTTAAGAGGGAGTTCTCAATCTGAAGAATCCCTGACTTATTTCGACACGTGAGTTGAAGTTTAGCAGCGATTGAATAGGTTTAAGGTCCAGACCTTTGAAGGTTGCAGATGGGAGGATCTCCACCTCTTTAGCTGTGCCTAGTAGACTCTCGGATATGAGGAAGTAGTCAATTTTGGACAGAGATGTTGGTTCTTCCTTATTCGGGAAAAGACTTTTTTGTCCGGATGCATTGCCCTCAGTGGATCAATGAGTTCGAATTTTGTCATAATGTTGCGAATCCCTCTCTTGTGGGGCCCATTTGTGTTGTCCTTGAGATCCAGTCCAGGTTGGGGTCAAGGGTCGTGTTCCAATCTCCTTCGATATCGATTGCGGGTTGGAGATAAGGGTTTTGATGTTCTCAAACCAGGTTGGCCTTTTTCGGATTCCGTGTTAGGTGCATATAGATTGAGAATTCTCAAGTCTTTTTTTTGCCATCTAATGTCTAACCAAGACCATCTCCCTTCCTCGTTGTCGCAATCACTGTTCAGGATCAGCCCCTTGGTCAAGATCTTGGATGTTCTTGGGATGAGTATTGTCGTCCCTTTTTTGCTTTGGCCTTCTTTGTTAGACCATAGTGCAAATGTGTATCCCCCTACTGTTCTCTCCACCCTCTGTTGTATCTTGGTGTGACTGTTCAGATTGGACAGGTGGGTCTCTTGGAGGAGAACCAGATCCGGTTTAGGCAGATCTTTCCCCACCAGGCCCGTCCGGGTATCTTTGAGTTTTGACTTTTTTGGTTAGGATGTTTCCTAGGTCGTTGACATTCCAACTTATTATCTAGAATGGCTTGACATGCCAGTTGATCCTGGGTGGGCCGTCTTGGCCATTTTTGGTTCTTGTGGGGACCAACATTAGCAGGTACCTCGGGCTTTTTTTTTTTTTTGTATTCCTTAGTTGTCTCTTTTACTTAGGTGTTGCTTGTGTGGATCGGATTTTGTTAGTCGTTGAGGTTAGTTGTTCAGTCCACTGCCGCATCAGTCTTGCTGCTCTCGGTGTTTGAGTCCCTGTTGTCCTCCTTCGCTGCTGCGGGGCCCAGGCTGTATTCTCCTGCGCTGCTCTCTGCTGACAGCTGTGATCCGTCGCTGCCTCCTCCTGGGGAGAACTTGTCACCCAAGACCAGATCCTCTTCTTCTTCGCTCTCCATATCTTCTTTTTCCACCCCCATGTCCACCTCAATGGTTGTCGCCTCGTGGTGGATCTGCCGTTCAGCACATTGTACAAGAGCAATGTGATTGTGTTCCACGCCCTCCAGGTCGGGCTCCAGTATGTGTCTCAGCCCAACCCCAGTCTTGTTCCCATTTGGCTTTCCACTCACTAGGCACCCTCATGATCATGGAGACGCTTCGTCCCCCATTCAACCTGGACGTATCCCTCTCTAGAGCACGAGAAAGGTGCATCGGTGTAGCTCCTCCTACCTCTACCTGTCAGTCGTATACACGAGGCCAAATCTCCCTGTTGTTGCGCCCGACTATTTGAGCACGGCGAGTTTTGAATCTTTGGTCAAAAAAGGACCAGGTACACTCGAAGTTTCTAGGAGGCCACGCGATCCCCCCGAGTACCGAGGCGAGTCCTCAACCTCCGTCATTCACCTTTTTACTTGTTTTTTTGTCGTTGTACACAGGTATACCCCTTGATCCCTTCTCCTCCTTCCATCGTCTTCACTCACCTTCCGCCACCCCCTCGTTTCCATAGCCATTGGGCGCAGCCTCTTCCTTTCGTACCTCAAAACCCATCCACTAACAGTAAAAACTAACCTTACAATCTTGTTCGCCCTATCCAATAACTACGAAAACAATTCTTGGTTTGTCCGATTCCGTCGAGAATCAGGTGAGCTATACGCTTCCTTCACTCCACTCTCCGCCATCTCTCGGCGCACCGTTTCTTCCTTCTAACACTATTTCTACTAACTTGCTAACTAATCTAACCTCGTAATCGTGCTCGCCCGGGGTCAAAACCCCAGAATCGGCTCTTACTTCGCCGGATTCCGTTAAGGAACGGGCGAGCGATGTCTTCTTCACTCGGCCATAGCTCCTTCGCTGCTTCTCAAACTTCGAATGCACCCGGCGCGAATTCACGCCAGGTTCATTCACTCTGACTCTTCACTTACTCCCGATACTCTTCGCGCACCTTTTTTTCCTACCACCACTTCTACTAACTCCCTACTCAAACTGACTTCACGATCACGCTCGCCTGGTCCAAGAACCCCCACTCGCGATACTCCCCCACTCGCTTTCCCGATGAAACGAGCAGGCGTACGTTTTCGCCCTTCGCCAGTCTTTTTTCCAATACTCTGCATGCACCCCGCCTGATTTCGTGTCCCGATTCACTCATTGCTCTATCCCTTCGCCGTTGTGTCCTGCCCTCAGTCCGCCCCACTCTGCCTCAGCTACTAGCGCAGCTCTCCGCCCGCAATAGTCCCCCAGTGCCCAACGCAGTCCGGTCAGGTCATCACGGACGATACTCCAACAAGCGGCCGACTCCCCGACGGCCCGATTAGTCTTCCGCCCCTATGCACTGCCCGGCTGCGTGTGCGTCCAGCGTATACTATTGTCGACCCCGCCACAGCCTCCTACTAACTCCGCCTCGACTGCATCCGCCCGAGGGGACAGCCTCGACACGCGGCTGAGGGCACGGCTTGCTGTGGAGCCGCGGCGAGGCATAAGTGCCCGGGCCTGATGCAGGTCTCGATGATAATAGCAAACGATCCTATGGGAATTTCGAAGACCGTCGCAGAGGAGGGTCCCATGTAACTAGGCCACACTGCGGCCTGCGGCCTCCACCTTGGTTCCCCTACAATTACCCCGGGCGTAATTCAGCGCCTTATGGGGCCCGGCGCGCACACTCACACCCAAACTCCTCACGACAGATCATGGTTGGCGGACAACGCACCGGCGGCAATCCCCGCGACTCATGTTTCTCCCGCTTCGCGAGCTAACCGCCCACCGGCTTTGCATACACATTGAACTCCTTGGTCCGTATTCCAAGATGGGTGGGATAGAGGAATTTTACCAGCATCCCAAACATGCGAGAACCCGAACGCGGACCTGTTTTTCAGCAGTTTAATGGTGCACCAGCTAGACCAGACCCGTCGGTCTCACCGCGGGTGTCGAAACTGACCACCAACAAAAGTAGTAGAATATAAATAAATAATAGGGATAAAAATAAACCCACGACGCCGCGCAAACCTAGGCCTTTGTGGGCTGTATCGCACCGTCGACATTCCCCACGCCCGCCCAAACTCCCGCAATCAAACGCGCGAAAAAAACCTGGTCCGCGTTTCTATCTCTCGCACACTCTGTTTGCCACCATGAAGTCACGCCGTCGTCGAAGCCGGTCTCTACGCAGACATGCATGTCACAGCCAAACGTAACAATCAAAAGAAGAAAAATCCTTTGATCCTAATTTTAATCAAAAATAAATAATAGTTATAAAAAAAATAACCGGCAACCACACCGGCTTTACAATCATCAACAGGAAAAGGCAAACCCACGCGCCTGAAAACTGCGCGCCCACGCACTCTTTACTTCTAGACCTTTTAGTCAAACTTCCAACCAAAAGACTGCCGCGACTCGTGCGGTCTACCCAAAAATTCCGAATCTAACTTATTTTCTGTCACTTGCAAAAAAACAGGGTGGATACCCTTGTAAGGGTATTCGCGCCGACACCGCTTGAGAGCAATCTCTGGCTTGGGATGGCGGTGCTCCAAGATCTGCTTCGCTTCTTGTAGCAGAGTGTTGTTGTCCAGGTTGGTGTTCTGACCGGTTTCTGCTGTCTGGATCCTGATTGTCCCCATGTCCCACAGCAGGTCCTCACTTCCAGTGAATACGGACAAACTAAAACCAACTGACACAAAACACGACACCATCATGACTGTATTGGACTGTCACTTCACGACGACAACCACTTCACGAATCGTGGGCTTTGCAGGCAACCACATCATGGTTGTATCTATCCCAAACCGTCACCTGTGTACATGTCAGTCGAGAGAATTGCCTGAAATGTACATAGATGACGATTTGGGTCCAATACAGTAATGATGTTGGTGCCTACATCGGCCACAATCCGTAACCCGTTCTCTCTCTCTCTCTCTCTCTCTCTCTCTCTC